TCTCAATGTCAAGCAATTATGGCAATTTTTTGGGTCTTTCCAGATATTACCGTAAGTTTGTTCGCCACTATGGGGTAATTGCTAAACCCTTGACTTATTTGCTGAAGAAGCATGTCCCATTCGTCTGGACCAGCGAATGTACCATAGCATTTGAAACACTGAAAAATGCCCTAGTGACAGCCCCAGTCCTTGCCTTGCCCAACTTCACGAAGCAATTTGTCGTTGAGTCCGACGCCAATGACTTGGGAGTTGGAGCAGTCTTACAACAAGAGGGCCACCCCTTGGCCTTCTTGAGTAAACCTCTTGGCTGAAAAAACAGAGGAATATTGTCTACTTATGAAAAAGAACTCGCTATTTTATTGGCTGTGGAGCATTGGCGATTGTACCTTCAATCAGCTGAGTTCATCATCAAAACGGACCAGTGTAGAACGTCTCCACACCCCATGGCAACACAAGGCGTTGACCAAGCTTCTCGGGCTGCGCTACAAAATATGCTATAGAAAAGGTGCGGATAATGGAGCAGCTGATGCACTTTCACGCCGTCCTTTCTCTGACACCAATGAATTGCATGCTATTTCCCTGTGCAAACTGGAGTGGATCAAAGACATGCGAGAAGGGTATGCACAGGATACGACAACACAGAAGATAGTGGAGGACTTACAGGCTAATCCCCAATCCCATAAAAAAATTACACTTTCAGAGGGCATTTACGCTACCAAGGGCGTACTTGGATTGGGAGGAATTCTCAATTGCAACATCAACTATTAATGGCAGGGCATCAATCTGCCGTCGGGGGCCACTCTGGCGCACCAGCCACATACTAGCGGCTGAAGACAGTATGTGCGTAGCCGCGTATGAAACATGCAGTGACTGAATTTGTCCAATCGTGTGCAGTTTGCCAACAGGCCAAGCCCGAGAGATGCAAGTACCCCGGCCTCCTTGAACCCCTTCCTGTTCCTGTTCGTGCATGGCAGATGGTTTCTATGGATTTCATCGAAGGATTGCCACGGTCAGGACGATTCAATTGCATCTTGGTCGTCGTGGATAAGTTCTCCAAATACAGCCATTTCCTACCATTGTCGCATCCATTCTCTGCTTCCCAAGTGGCAACTACTTATGTGGATCAAGTTTACAGACTGCATGGACTACCAGATTCTATTCTATCCGACCGAGATACAATCTTTACAAGCAGATTCTGGCAAGAGCTCTTTCGGCAAACCCAAACAACCCTTCGGATGAGCACACCATATCACCCGGCCACGGATGGGCAAACTGAGCGTACAAACCAATGCCTCGAGACTTTCCTCAGATGTTTTGTGCATTCTTGTCCAAAGAAATGGAGTTCATGGCTTCCTCTTGCTGAATTCTGGTTTAACACCAGCTGGCACAATGCTCTTGGGAAATCCCCCTTCTTTGTCCTTTACGGCCACAACCTCGAAATTGGGGTATCGAAGCAGCCTCAGCCACTCTAGTTTCTGATCTGAACACTTGGTTACCAGAACGGGAGGAAATGCAAGCTCTAATTCGACAACACCTCCTCCGAGCTCAGACGAGAATGAAACATCAAGCTGACAAGAACTGATCTGAACAAAGCTGTAAAATTGGGGATTCTGTGTACACTAGACTCCAACCTTATGTTCTGTTGCTCGCCGAGCGTGTCATAAGCTCTCGCTTCGCTACTTTGGGCCATTTCTGGTGCAAGCTCGCATTGGACAAGTGGCTTACCGTGTGGGTTTACCAGAGACTTCGAAGATCCATCCCGTCTTTCATGTCTCGCAGCTTCGCAAGGCTGTTAAACTAGGTGTGCCCGTTTCCTCTGTTCTTCCTCACAATCAGTTTGCGGTTCCTTTGGAAGTGCTTGACAGTCGCCAGAAGACCAAGGCCAATAGAGTGGTTGAACAAGTGCTCGTCCGTTGGTCTGGTGACACTCTGGAGCCGACGTGGGAGGATCGTGACGAGCTCCAGTCACGTTTTCCGTGCGCCACGGCTTGGGGACAAGCCGCAACTCAAGCAGGGGAGGGTGTTAGCAGGCTTGCCAGTACTACGCCATCCTCCCAACCACCAGTCGAGGCCGACGAAGGAACGGCCCAAGGCCCAGCTAGGAGAGCCCGCAAGCCCAACAAACGAGTGGCTGGTGAGGAGTGGGTGAACACGACCCAGGAAGCATAAAGCAGGGGATCGCTCTCTGGACAAGCATCGGAAGATCGATCAAGGCACGGCACGGCACGGCGGCTACCTTAGAACGCTAGTTCCTCTTTCCCTCATCTCCAATTCGGCACCTTGGTGCTTGTAATCTTCAGAACTTGTGAACCACCACCATATTCTGAGAGTAATACTAGTGCCGTGCTAACAAGCGTGTTGGACTACATGTTGGTGCGCTATTGATTTGACCAGCTTTGATCTGATTTCAGGGTCATTTTTTCCGCGGTCAGATTTTGTCCAAGAAAGAAACTTGCCGTTCGCCCATCATCTCGCTCGGGGCGTGCGGTTTAGCAAGGCAACTCGCAGAAAACTTCCCTGGCTGGTTTGCCCTGTTCAAATGCTAACGTGGACGAGGTGAAAGTGGTATTTGACCAGTGGGGCCCCATCGTCAATGAGTAGAGATCGGCTCTTAACACCAAAATCGGTGTAAATAACAGCGATCCAGCGGCTGCGCGTGCCGTCACGACGTGACTCAGCATGGATTCGGGCAGTCCCTGATTCGGAGTGGCATGAATTCCGAAGAAAACCATGTTGACCTCGGTCATGGTGGACGATGGCGTTGTCTTCTTGTCGAAGGCATTGTCGGTTGCAGTCATCGTCATATCGTTCCAGCTGCTTCGGGGAAAACCGTAGATCTGGGATTCCCGGAAAGGACGATGACGGGGCCTTCCTCCCTCTCGAGGGCATTGTCTTGGAGCAGGGATAATGGGTTGGAGCAGATATACACTTATCCCTATGAACACAGAAATAATGCAAGCACCAAAACTTGAACTCTGTTGGGTTAGGATACCACTATCCACTTAACCATTCAACCACAGACTGATTCACTATTGATATTTGATTTGACCAGCTTTAATCTGATTTTAGGGTCACTTTTTTCACGGTCGGATTTTGTCCAAGAAAGAAACTTGCCGTTCGCCCATCGTCTCGGTCGGGGCGTGCGGTTAGCAAGGCAACTCGCAGAATAATGCTCGTTTAAAGCGTGCGTCCTCGCCGGCAGTGTCGTCGGTGGCAAGTAGAAAAGCAAAGGGATTGATTCCTGCCGGACGCAAGACGCAACGAGCATCATTTGTTTCTTTTCCTGCCGTAGCCATCGTTCTTTGCATCACCCGAAAAAGCAAAGGAAAATGGGTTGGATTGGATTCCTCAGGGACGACTCTTTGCATCTAGTACTGTACTGTGTAGTGCGATCCAACCAACCGGCCATTGCCATCTCCCCGAGCTCCTCCGAATCTGCTTGCTTCGAACACAACGTAGTACCAGGGCAAGCTCAGCTCTATTCGGTAGCAGACGCATTTCCATCGATTTGGTAGTCAGTCTAATTCTCCCCCTGCTACTTCCAAGGTTTGAGCGATTTTCATACCATCGGCGGCCGGTATCAACTCACGCCAAGCCTTGAAAAGGTGCGTTTGCTTCTTACTCCCTCCCTTCCTCATTATAATATGGTGTTCTAACTTTCTTCTAGCTAATCGAATCATTTTAGTTTATATATAGTCCGCACTAAAATATCCAAAACGTCTTATAATAATGACTGAAGAGCGTACTACGAAAATTCATTGACGTGCTCACGGTATCTTCGATCGTTGTTTTGCTATGGAATCTGGGATGGTCGCCGTAGTCAAGGCATATACGCGTGGTAGTTAATGCGTATGGTTGGGATTCGTATTTGCACCTAATTTTCAAGGATGTAATTTTTTGTGACGTGCATGAACATTTTATTAGTTAAATTTATGATCAAAATTTGGCACAAAATATAATGAAGACCAATAAACTAGGACGAAGGTAGTAAAATTGAATTAATGAAATATGCATGGGTTATAACCGCAAGGAAAATAGGGTGTGCTAAGTGTCTGTTGGCTGATCTATTTAAAAGATCGGCCGACTCATGAGCTCTCAGATCTGACGCATCAAGCACCCAAGATGTCCTCTACCATTGCAACACATTCTTGTTACATTTTTTTATTGCAGCTTACGTCTTGTTGTAGAAACTTTTTTTAACTGAGGTTTTCTGCAGATTTTTTTTTGTCTTCACCTTTTTTACAACATAACTGATGTTAGGGGAGATACTTCTGCAACATTGGTGATGTTGCTGAAGAAAATTGTAATGGAGACTTTGCTAGAAAAAAAAAGTGAGTTAGGGGCGCACATCATGTGGACATGTGTCGTACGAAAGGTGGCAGACGAGAGGCAACAAATGAGTCGGTTGAAAAGAATCGTCCATTGAAAGAAGTTTCTATAGGCGTATATTATATGACATTTAACTCGCCTTTTATTGTTTGAATTGGTAATCTAGAAAAACGTATGGGCCTTATAAATATTTACTACCTCCGTCTCGGCGTATAAGTCATTCGTATAGTTCTAGGTCAACAATTTAACTATCTAAATATATATTATATATGATAAAAAATATATATTTAGAAACTACGTCCATGTAGAAATCTAGTGATATACTTTTCATTACATATGACACATATTTAATTTCTCAAATCGATAACCTAGGACTAGTTATTCCTAAAAAACCCGGTGAGATATATTGTGCTAAAAGATCATAAGAGAAGACAAGGCTTTTCTTATGATTTTTCTCTCCTCCACCTCAGCATTTATCCTACATGTCATTTCTAATATAGAACCATTGTGCATGCCCTAAGCGGCCTGTCTAATGTAAGTTGTCCTATTTACTCGTCAAGCATGCACATTTCTTTCATGTTATGGGTGTCGAAAACACATTGTCTAGTTGCTAATAACACTTCTTTTTATCTTGTTCTTATAGCTGCACAAAGTTAACTTTCGGTGGAGCAATGGCCAGAGGGCCAATTTACATCTGGAATGAGTGGGCAACACAAATCCTCGTCCTACTTAGCTTTGCACTGCAGATCTTCCTCTTTGTCTTCGCTAGGACCCGTCGATGTGGATCTTCCCCCTTGCTGAGGTTCCTCCTTTGGCTGGTCTACCTCATGGCCGATTCGACTGCTATCTACACACTCGGGCATCTTTCCATCAATGGCATATTGCACGAGCACGAGCTGGTGGTGTTCTGGGCGCCATTCTTGGTCGTGCATCTTGGTAGCCAAGACACCATCACCGCCTACGCCCTCGAGGACAACCAGCTTTGGCCGCGCCATCTGCTAAATCTTGGCGTCCAAGCCTTTGGGGTTGCTTATATCCTATACAAGCATATTGGACATATCTCCACCTCATTGGGATTGGCTACTTGCTTGATATTTGTCATTGGTCTCATCAAGTATGGGGAGAGAATATGGGCTCTAAAGTGCGCCACCATGGACGACATCCGAAGCTCTATCAAGAAGTGTGGGCTTCTCCCTACTTACTATGGTGATCTTCCGCCGCCCTCGGGAGCGAGCGCAGAAGAGCGGGACGAAGAAGAGCTTTTGTTGTTTGCCCAAGCCATGCTCCCTCTTTGCAAGGGTGGGATTATTAATTTTCCTGTGGTTTTAATTTCTCATCCACATAATTCTTCTTCCAACTTGAGCTGGTGTTGGAACTGGAACTGGAAGGCCACCTTTAAAGTGGTGGAGATGGAGCTCTCCCTCATGTATGACATCCTCTACACCAAGGCTGCAATCATCCACAGCTGGTATGGCTACTGCATCCGTGTCTTCTTGCCGTTCGGGACCGTTGCGGCATTTGTATTGTTTCAAGTAAGTGGTGATAAAGACGGTTGCAGCAGAATCGATGTTGCTATCACTTACATCTTGTTGATAGGTGCCTTCCTCCTAGACATGTCGTCAATGTTGAGTGCTTTGGTGTCGACTTGGACATGTGGTTTCTTTTGGACTAGAAATTGGAGGCTTGGTTGTGTCATCATGTCTCTCCGTCGGTATTTCAAGGCTGCTACAGGAAATAGAGGGTGGTCAGGCTCCATTGGGCAGTTTAACTTGATGCATTTCTGCTCTCGTGACAAGAGCAAGCTAAGCATTAGAGTGTCCAAGATGATGAGACTCGAGGATATGTGGAACAAAAGGCATTATTCTAAGACCCTAGTGATCTCAGAGGATGTCGAGGAGTTGGTGTTCAAGCATGTATGGCAACTAGTGAAGAAGATTCAGCATCCAAGAGCAGAAGATGTGGAGGAGCCCAAGGCAATGATGCCATCGATTTCCGAACGGCTGGGCTTTCGTCCTGAATTATATGATGATACTGCCAGGAGGCGTAAGAAATTTGATGATGCTCTCTGCTTGAGCGATGAACTCCAAGAGGTGATCCTTACATGGCACGTCTTTACAAATGTTTTCATCTTGTGCAGTGTTGCCCCTAAGGATGCATCATTATTTGCATATCTAAAGGCGGTCAAGGCGTTGTCAGATTATATGGTGTTCCTCATCGTTGTACGCCCTGACACCATACCTGGTATCGAGCTACGAAGCCTGTACGAAGCAACCCGTGACGCTCTCGAGGAAATATGGCGTACCAATACCTATGCAATAAAAGAGAAGAATCTTGCCAGCATCCTGCAAAACAGTAAACATAGTGATCTTGGGAAGGCGAGCGTCATCATCTCGCACGGAACTTTGTATGCCAAGCTACTGATGGATTTGGTAGATACAAGCAATCGCGACAAGTCCGGTGTCATATCGTCTTATGAAGATATTGATCATGTCGCCATGGGTAAACTGAAGCATCTAATGCTAGACCTGGAATCCTCATGCAAAGTTGGTGTCGTGTTTGATATGGCCAAAGCGTTGGCGCTCATCTTGGATACATGGGTGCGTCTGCTCGTCTTGGCTTCCGTACGATCCAGCGGCGATGCCCATGCAAGACAGATCAACCGTGGAGGCGAGCTCACGACCGTTGTCTGGCTCATGGAGGAACATGCCAGCGTGTTTTTCAACCCACCCACCGCGGCCGGCTACGAGCGATATCGGTCTGAAGGCCGGTTCCAATGGTACCGATGCAGTGATATATGCCGTCTCAAGCGTTCCAATGGTGACATGGAACATTAGTGTAATTAATGTAGAGAGAGCTTGTATTTTAGCAGCAAATTCTGCGTACCTATCAGTGCCTACTGCATAGTGTGTTATTGTTTAGCAGCACGAGCGGCAATATATAATACTAACAGAAGGAAGTTGCAACAAGAAATACCAGCCCGAATCTTCTCTGCTGTGCTGAAATGTGAAGGCAGTTTTGATGCCTCCATCTGCTGTTTCTTTCACTTGTATTGTATGTGCTGGAATGTGAAGTGGAGCCGTTAGATTTCTTCTTTGATCTTCTCAACTTAACGTAGTTTCAATTTGTATTGTAATCTGGAATTCGATAAAAATAAATAAACATGGATGAATGTTGGGATATCCTCCTCATGTGGATTGTGAGGAGATGATCATTTGAGGCCTTTTAGGCAGCCCAAAGAGGTGCATAAGCCCACTACCCATTAGGGTTATGACCTAGGGTCATTTTGGACTTTGCACATGTGTGGATGGGGATGCTTTACCCTCCATCCAGCAGCCACCACCAAGAATGACGAAAATCAGATTATCCTCCAAGAGAGAAGAAGAGAGAAAACCAAGAGAGTAAGGGAAGAAGAGGAAGATTGAAGGAAGAAGAAAGGGAGCTCCTCCCCAAGGTTGTGATGGTCCAGATCCACTACCTTGTCTCCTTCAAGCTTCGGTTCCACCATCTTTGGTGATATTGTTCCAATCCCTAGTTCTTGAGCCCCAAATCTTGTTGTGTTCATTCAAGATTCAGAAATCTTGATGTATGAGATCCTCTAGTGTTGTCTAGAGAAAAACTTGTTGTATCCCACATTTGATAATAGTGGAAGAGGATTTGGGTGGCTTTGGCCCGTGGTTTTTCCCCTCAAGTTGAGGGGTTTTCCACGTAAAAATCTGGTGTCTCTTTGTTGATGCTTGGTGTTGTCCAGAAACTTACTCCTACCACAAGACACTAGGCTGAGGAGTGTCTTGCCTGCTGAGTAACATTTTCTGCCTCCATATATGCTGCTGCATATGTTTCCTTCCGTGCTAAGCAACGATCCTTGAATTAGTACATGATGTGGTGCTGAGATTACTTGTTTCCATTGCAGTTTTCAGTTAACCACAAGTGCATTTATGTGCTAATTCCCAACATAGTGGCATCAGAGCCTTGGTTGCTTAGAAGGTTGCAAATCCCAGTTGCTTGATTGTTGCTGAAAGTGCTGCTCACAATGGCTTTGGAAGAAAGCTCTACTACAAGTGGCATGATAAAACTTGATTCTTCCAATTACTCATTATGGAAGCCCATAATGGAAGACATCCTTTATTGCAAGGATTTGTATGAGCCAATTGTGAAAGACAAGATACCCACAGGTGTCACGGAAGAAGAATGGAGAGTGTTGCATAGAAAGGCAGTAGGTATGATTCGGTTGTACATCAACCACAATATTTTTCACCATGTTGCAAATGACACAAATGCATATGAGATGTGGCAGAAGTTGGAGTCTATGTATGAGAGGAAGACATCAATGAACAAGGCATCGGTGATCAAAAGACTTGCAAAGCTTGAGTACCGAGATGGCACAAGTGTGATTGAGCACTTGAATGTCTTCCAATGCCATATAAATCAACTTTCAGCCATGAAGATCAACTTTGAGGATGAGATGCAAGCATTGTTGCTGCTGAGTTCCATGCCTGATAGTTGGAACACGCTTGTTGTGTCACTTAGCAATTCAGCTCCGGATGGGAAGCTGACTTTGGAGATGGTGAAGAACAGTATGCTAAATGAAGAAGCCAGAAAGAAGCAAAAGGGTGATGCCTCTTCTTCTGATGCGTATATGGCTGAAACCCATGGGAAGAATGAGAACCGTGGACGCAGCAATACAAGATTTCAGCAAGGCAAAAGCAAATCCAGGGGGAGATCAAAGTCAAAACAGAGAAAAAATATCACTTTCTTTCATTGTGGCAATCCGGGACACATAATGAGCGAGTGCAGGAAGTACAAAAGAGAGCTAGCAGAGGGGAAACTCACAAAGAAAACCGAGCAAAAGGCTGAGAGCAGTTCAACCATGACTGCAACAGATGATGACTATCTAGTCATTGAAGATGAAGATTGCTATAGTGATGTTTGTGATGATGCCATGAGTTGGGTTGTGGATTCAGGTGCGTCCTTCCACATCACATCACACAAGGAGTATTTCACATCTTACTGTAAGTGCATCTAGTGCCCCTTAGTGATTTTGGTGTATTGAAGACTTATAGGTTAAGGGACTAATATGTTTATGAGAGTACACATGTTTATAAGTCTATGAGGAGTTTGATATTTACAGAGAAAGTCGACCCCTAAAAATGAAGTTCTTGACTGAAGACTTTGAAAGTGAAGAAATTGGTGTGACCTTGAAGATTTGGTATTCATTTGAGGAACATGAAGCGTAAAGACTTTTGTTTTCGTAGTTTAGTTTTCTCTTTCTTGAGTCATAGGAAACACCGTACTGTTAAAGGGGGTCGAGGAAATACTAAGGAAAATTTCCATGTGATGCTCAACTCAAAATCCTACACCTACCAATCCCTTCAAGTGAAGCCTTTGAAAATCTCATACAGTTCAGTCAATTTCTTCAGTGACAGAGATGAAGTTCTTCTGGTCGCTGAGGAATTTGTTCTGACTGAGGAGTTAGGAATTCGCCAGTGCGGATTGCCTACACAGTGAGGAACATGATAGCCCTGAGGAATTTGAGAGTCAAATTTCCGACCGTTGCTGTGCTGCGCGCCAGCTGTCCCAAAATATCTTATCCACCTAACGGTCATATCATTGAAGGGCATTTATGTCTTATCATGTCGGGCTGCTTCCTAGGCTATAAATAGCCACCCCCTACAACCACTAGCTGGTTGGCTACTCCGAAAGAAACTGACACTTGTCATTTGAGAGCATCCCATCCTCCGAGGACTTTGAGCGAAAATCATCGAGTGAGGAAAAACCCAAACCCAAACACCTACAAACCCAAAGTGATTGAGCATCACTAAAGAGATTGATCCTGCGTGGATCCGACGCTTGTTTCCTTTGAAAAATGTGCTTCTTCCAGACGGTTAGGCGTCATGGTCTAGAGCATCCAAGAGGAATTGTGGATCGCCAAGTGACCGAGTCTGTGAAGGTTTGGAAGTCGCCTGAAGACTTACCACGAGTGATTGGACGAGGTCTGTGTGACCTTAGTTTAAGGAGAATACGGTGAGGACTTGGTGTCCTGAGCTGCGTGCTCAACGACTGGGTGTCCGGGACTGTGCGTCCTCGAGTTTAAATACTCAGCCGCTCCAACCAGACGTACAACTGAGATAGCAGTTGGAACTGGTCTACCAAATCATTGTCTTCACCAACCTTACTGGTTCTATTTCCTCAACACTTTCATTATTCTCATTACTGTGTTGAGTGATTGTTCATATCTGTGTTTGAAGACTTTGACTGAAGACTTTCTCAATTTCCTCAGTTCAATTTCTTCAGTCTGTTTGTCTTCATCTTGTGTTATCCTGTGATTACGCTTCCTGTACTCTGTGCTTGTCTTCATTTCATCATGATGACTATGTCTGTATTCTGTTATGCTTACTTCTGAGTACTTATTCCGCTGCAAGTAGTTCTTCGCTAAGGAATTTCCTCACCCGCAAATTCCTCAATGAAGAATTCATAAAAATCGCCTATTCACCCCCCTCTAGTTGATATAACGCACTTTCAATTGGTATCAGAGCAAGGTACTCCCTTGTTCTGTACGATTTTGGTTTAACCACCTGAAGTTTTAGTTATGTCGACCGCAGGTCTGATCCAGGTCTCTGCTGGCTGTCCTACCTTCGATGGGACAGACTACCCTTACTGGAAAAATAAGATGCGAATGCATCTTGAGGCAATTGATAACAATCTCTGGTATGTTGTGGAAAATGGTGTTCCCACTGTCTCAGCCTCATTGAACGCTATCGATGTGAAAAGATTCAAGCAACTCGATTCTCAAGCGAAGAATATCATATGTGGCCATCTGAGCAAAGGACACGAAAGAGTGAGTGCTTTGGAAACTGCTAAGCTTATCTGGGATAGGCTGTCCAAAGTAAATGAAGGTGTCTCAACTCAGCATGACTCTCGAGTTGATGTTCTTCGCAATCTCTTCAACCGCTTCAAAAGACTCGACAATGAAAATGTTCAACAAACCTTCGATCGCTTCACTGACATCTCAAATGAGCTTCAAGCACTTGGTGCCACTGACATCACCGACCATGAGGTGGTGAAGAAATTGTTGAGATCGCTTGATTCCTCATTTGATACTCTGGCACTGATGATACAAGAACGTGCTGACTACAAGTCACTAGATCCCGCTGATATCCTCGAGAGGCTAAATACTCATGAGTTCCAGCTTGCTGAAAAGAGAGATCTCTATGGTTCGAGCTATGGAAAAACACGTGCCCTGAAGGCCAAGGCTGTGTCTGAATCTGAATGTGAAGATTCTGGTAGTAGCCTTGGTGATCCTGAAGAATTGAGCCAGGAGCTAGCACTGCTCGTGAAGAAGTTCCAGAAGTTCTCAAGACGTGGTCGCTTTGGAAAATCCTCAAGGAATAGTGATTCCTCATCAAGTGACTATAAGAGAAGGCTATGCCACAAGTGCAAGAAACCTGGTCACTATATTAAAGATTGTCCTCAGTGGGAAAAGGAATTAAAGAAGAAGAAATACAAGGATTACAGTTCTGATGACGCTAAGAAGAAGAAGAAATCGTCAAAATCTTCATCATCAAAATCCTCGAAGTCCTCATCTCACAAGAAGAGCAGCTCCAAGAAGGCTCGGGCATTCATTGGCAAGGAAATGGACTCTGAAGCTGAATCTGAGGAACATGAGGAAGAGGAGGCATCTGAGGAGTCCGAGTCTGGTGTGGCGAGTCTGGCTCTCGCTACTGCATTCGTCAGCAAGTCCATCTTCAACTCTGAAGAAATTGACCTCACCAACAAGGCTGACGAAGATAATGATGACTATGCTCCCACCTATTGCTTCATGGCAAAGGGTGCAAAG